TATAATGAAACAACGCACACGCCCGGATTCGCCGTGAAACGTCATTCGCGCGTGCACAAAGAGATTCGCTCTTTCGAGCATTTGTTTCGACACCCTACTTCCTCATCCATCCAGTCGGTCAACCGATCCCCGTAATTGAGGGCAATTTGAAAAAAGCCTCGAACGATTCGAATCGATGCGACGCGATCCAAACACACAAGTCCGACACTAAACACCCTTATTATTGTCGCGAGAGAGCCGATTAGAATTCAGAAATCACACCAGGCAGCGGACACGGATCTCTCCTTCGTCGGCGATCACTTTTTCACATCGCGGCGCCGAGATTGCCGAGAGAGAGAATCCCGCGCGATCGGCCGGAAAAATAAGGATTATTTTTCCGGGATGGGTCTGGTTGGGTCTGGATGGGTCCTGAGTCAGACTGCTCTCTCGCGTAGTCGGCGCGAGTTGCGGGAGGGCGTTTGCACACGGCACCACACGACGCCGGACTCTAATCTCTATTAATAAATGCTCGCGCCGCCTCTCGTATCGTTCCTACGGGCAAGAATAAGCAAAAGCGAGAACGAGAAACGGAAGAGAGGAGGAAGAAAGAGCCGAGATGCAGAGAGAACGATCCTAGCTGATGCGTTAGCTCTCCGAGGGCTCGGCCTCGTGCAAGCGCGACGATGATTCGCGCGAATCGCCATCATTTCGCAGATGCACGATTAACATCTGCACGATTAACTCTCTGAACAAATTCGATCGGTGTACCAAGCACGTAAATGTACAATACAATCAGAAACTGCAGCGAAGGCTATTAAAGACTCGCGCGGGCGGGAATCGAAATCGTCGTAGCTTTATACTTTGTAGTACGAGAGAGAGAGAGAGAGAGAGAAAGCTTAAACTCGTGCATTTCATTAAAAATTGTCGTAAAAAATTATCGGTACTGCTGCGGTGTTTTTAACGAAACTACGCGACTTTTAATCTCCAATGTATCAATGTTCTCAATCTTACAGGAACTGTTGCACGCGACATCGCGTTCAATGTGTACCCCGGGTTTCTACGGGAAGGAAAAGCGTATAATTTCATGCGATTCACATTCAAAAGCAGCTCATTCGTCCTCGGGAAATAACGAGGAAGCGATTAAAATTTTCGTTCTACTCGATTCCGTCAGTGTCAAAGTGTATCGACACTATCGCAATTTTGAAGATGTACATACAGCAGCATTAACGTTGCTAAATAAAGGCGGTACGTAGAAAAATTTGAATCTTTTTACAGATACTTTTGACAGATTTTTATGTGATTTTACGTTACAATATTTACAGCTTTAGGAAATTTAAAATCTCTTTAATAGAGATGCTTCATTCAAATCCGATTAAAAAATCACCATGTAAGCGATAATAATTAAATTATTAAATATAATATATATATATATATATACATATATATATATGTGTGTATGTATAATGTCGATAATTTGCGATGATTTGGCGCATCAACAGCTTCTCTTTTTATCGTCACGCGAGAAATCTATTGACATTTGCTGATAAATAAGAGTGCCTGACTTACCAATCTGATTTCCGTCACACAGCTGACGATAATAACACCTGAAAATGTCACTTATATTTATCTCACGTTCATTACAAGTAGACTTAAATTTATTTTAAATACATTATAAAATTATTTGAATTTTAGATATTAATTAAGATGACGGTTTATCCACACTTTAATCATTCGGTTTTGATTAGTTTATTCGATTTCATCGAGTAAACTCTCTGACAAAAAACATTACTTAGTGAACTAAAACAAACTTAGTGAATATAAGTTATATGCTGTGAAAACGAAGCACGAACCTGTTTGCAAAAAGCCTGATTGAGAGGATTCAAACTGTAGATTCTTGGAAGCGATGATCGTATTTAGAACTTATTGGTTCAATGGTAATCGGTGTACAAAGTATTTTACGTCACAAGCTGCCATAATTCCATCCGGTACGTTAACCGCGTGAATGACGTTAATAATGACGCTGCAAGTAAAGACAATAGAACGCAGTGATTGAAGGTGCTAACAACAAGATAAGGACGTGCATCTCTCGTTCACCTTACTTGAGTGCAGCCCGATCACGTAAAAATTTTAATAAAATTACGACATTACACGCAATATCGCAAACTGCTCCTATCTGTAACACGTGGTTATTATTACGATAAATTATGCTTTTCCCTTACAGATATTTAAAAGGTTCGAAAACACAACGCGTATGTATTCGCAAATCACAATCGACAAATCTTCGCCAACAGCACTGATAAAATTTAATCTGACTCTTCTCGGAAGATCTAAAGAAATCGATATGAATGTTTTTTTATATTGTAAAATAATTTAGTTGTTACAAGTGTGGCTTTTATTACATCGAAGAGCCTTTACCGCATATGGTCGATAGCTGGCCGTTACTTGAAAGTGACGATGAAACGCGATTTTATTTCGATGCATATTTATTAATTGAAACACTCCGCGGGACATATATTTTTAGATGTTGCAATCAGTTTTTAAATTGGTTTTCGGTTTTGAAATGCTCTGGACTAATTGAATAAAATGGACACATTATTATCTGTTTCTTGCTCTTGTAATATTACATAAGAAAATCCGGCGAATACGAATTAATTGAGATTGAAACCTTTAAAAGCAAAAATTGAGTTTTATTAAATCGATTTATTTTTCAGGGAAAGTGGACATTTTAGAAAAAAACATATCTTTCTATGAGATGACGGAGATATAAGAGAACTTGTTAATTTGGAGCAGAAATTTAGTAACATATAATACGCGTAATTTTGTAATTGGAAAATTTTTAAAAAAGAGAAAGAACGTTCGAAAATTGGCAGAAGTGATAAAAGTAATAGTTTATGCAATCATAATGTTACATTAAATTTAAATTCGTGCGAATGAACATTTTTAGAATCGTCTACAAAGAAATCGATACATTATTTTAATGGAACAAGGCAGTCGAAGTTGAATTACTAATAATAACCAAATTATTGCCGTATTGAATAATATATCGTAAAAGTTTTTGCTGGATGCGTCGCAGTTTCTCAAAAGTATACAAGGGACCGCATGAAAGATTCGTCCACCACCGCGCACCGGTTTAAAGGGTATCACCTCATCGATTTTACAGAGGACTTTCGAGGTCAATGACGTATCACGCTTGTACATACATCTCGATGACTCTCTTGATGGCCAGAGAGCTGGAGATAATTACACGTGCGAAAATACAAATTTTCATCGGCGAAAACGGCGATCTCGCGCGAAAAAGACGCGAAAGAGAACGCAGAAACGCCCACGTAGATACGCTCGCGTAGCCTCTCCTCGCGACCGAAACCAGTCGATATTAGAAGCAACTAACATAGGTACTCACGTTCATGACGAAGAGAGCAGCTGGTGGCAGTGCCACTCGCGCACAACCGACGCGTACATTAAGACATCGCGGCGAGGATTCTCTTACACGATGTTAAACGATGTTTAATGTAATTCGTACATTCGTTGCACTTTATTGACCGATTATCGAATCTTGGGACGAGACCGAAGACACACTTTCGTCAATGTATATTCTGAGTCACTGGAATCGAAGCTGGAACCCCTCCCTGGCCGTGACAACCCTCGTGCAATTGCGAACGCGCATGTCTCTGCGAAAAGGGGATGATGATCCCTCTTTCCATCTCGAGGTTCTTTTCCTTCGTGCATCCTACGAACGTGAAGACGATTGTCCATCCAGAGTTAATAAGTTGGATTTTCTTACGCTTATATCCGGCAATAGTGCCTACTAGTGTCATTGCGAATATGTTTAATTATTTGATTATTTATTCCTGTCGCATCAATTGAAATTAATAATACAAAACTTAGATTGAATAGAGAGAAATTAATGTGCCATGGAATAAATAAATTCAAGTTCAGCGTAAAATAATTATTTGTTTTTATCGAAATCTTCTGTCCTTGATCCGATATCATTATTTTTTTTATAGATTATTTACTCCGATTCAATTATATATCAATTGTGTCAAATGCATGAAACAACTTTATCCAAATCAATAGACACTCTCTTATCTTTTGTAGCTGAAACGATTTGCGATAACATTAAGATACTGACGACCAACTTGATCGAATAGCTTGTTCAACTTTTGATTGAGCGAAATTAGATCAATCATGTTGGTTTGTTAAAATTGTTATTGATTTTTGAAAAATGTATAATTGTATATTAAAAAAAATGAGAGAAGATTCATATAATTTCTGGTTATTAAAAAAGATACAATTATCATTTTATTTTACTAATGAAATGTTTATTTAACAGATACAGTGTTTTCACGCTGTACTCCTACTAATTTTATAGTTACAATAGTACGAAAGTCTAAAATTTTAAGAAATTCTTAGCAAAATCATACGACGATTTCTTTAATAAAATCGCATTATTAATCATTTTTTATTATAACTATGGAATATCTTATTATTTTGTTGAACAAACGTGTACAAGATACCTTTATAAAAAATAGAAATTTCTCATGATGATATGTAACGACGCACAAGCACAATACTTGAAGACAATACTAAATATTTATAGAAAAATAATCTACTTATGCTAAGTACGCTGAAATATTAAACTTTACATAATAATTATTATGTATAAGCTTTATAGCCTTACTTATCTACACTCTTTTTTTTTAATGTCTCTTTTGTACGTATCGATTATTTACATAATTCTCTTAACTGTGCTACATGACGAGAGCAATAAACCAGTCATTGAGGTCATTTGGCATTACAAATCAGTAAACACACACACACACACACACACACACACACACACACACACACACACACACA